AGCGACATCCATGATGACACAAGTTCTTACTCACTCCTTTGACTTATTCCAATCCCCAGCTAACCTTGATGCACTTAGGCATTGTTGGAAGTTCCATGGACAGAACTCGGTTAATAAACTCGAGGTAAGAAAGTTCCGTTCACTATCTAGCACTCTCCGTTTCGCCGTCTCCACTGGACAAAACGCCAAAACACAGCAGCACCACTTTAAATCGCGAACACAGATATAATAAAGAAAACATTTTAGTGAACAGACAAACAACACAGCAACAGGACTGCCATGTTGAATTTCATTTGTTGTCCTCGTTGTGTCGTCTGCTACAGTAGCATTTGTTTTGCGGTAGTGCCAACCTGCACTGCCTTCCAGAAGTAATTTTACAAGAAAAGAAAAAAATGTATAGGTTGGCACTTCCGCAAAAGAAATGCTACTGTAGCAGACGACACAACGAGGACAACAAATGAAATTCAACATGGCAGTCCTGTTGCTGTGTTGCTTGTCTGTTCACTAAGGCGTCGTCTGCTCGACCTGAGTGTGTGTGGTGAATATGGAAGAAAAGAATTCCCGCCGTCGTCGGAAAACGTCCGATGACAACACAAACGCAAAGAAGCCCAAGCCCCTGAGCGAAAGACGCTCCTGGTGGATACAAGTGTACCCAGCAAATCAAGAAGTCAGTGACAGTGTCAGTTCAAGTGGAACAGCGGAGCGGCTCCGAAAGTTATGTCAAGCTACAGACTTTTTCCATGGATACCCTCTGTCAAACATTGTACCAAACTACTCTATTGCGACGGGAAAAGAGTACCCTTCGATAGTGATCTCAGCAGTGTGTTGTGCAAAGAGTGAGGACTATAACCTCCATGCGGCTGCGCTGATGCTCAAAGGAGCAATCGGCCGGTCAACAGAAGCACCCCACTCGCTGAAGCCGGAAGACTTTAAACATTATATAGTGCCCCTCCCACCATCCTATGTGCCCCAACCTTCCGTAAAAGTGATGCAGTGGTTCAAAGTGAGTGCCCCCCCGCTTACTCCCCACTTCCTGGAACAAGCCATCCGGGAAGAACTGAACGATCCAGACATCGAGTTCAACGAGGAAGAAGCGGAGGATGCATCCGAAACAAATGTTTTGGTTCTCATGCCGCCGCAGTCGGCGGCAGACCTCATGGCACGAGGTTTGTGTCTAGTGCGTGGAGAACCAAACAGGGCCGAATACCGGATCGCGGTGTCTGCTGAAGCCGTGGAGGGCCCGGTCATTGCGCCGCCGGCGTGGACCCCCCTGAGCAGGATTCCGAAGGACCTGCCTATGACTTCGTCCAAGCACAGCCAAACGGACATAACCCCCATTCCCCCCATCGCCCAGCCTGCACAAAAACAACAACAACACCAGCCCAAACATCGCCGTCGACGCCGCCGCAAAGCGCAGCGGCTCCCGGAACAATTAGTGCAGTGCTACAAGTGTCAGCTTTTCGGCCACCGGGCTGCTGCCTGTGAAGCTGATCAAGATGTGTGTAGGGTGTGCGCGGGTAACCACA